CTCATTTAATTTTATGTCTTATAGAGTTTATAATGAGTAAAAGATTATATAAGCATAATAATTCCTCTGTAAACCTAGAAATGTACAGCCAATTTTGAAAGAGATCTACCCTAGCTCAGAAAAATGTTATTGAATAGGTTAATGCTGTTGTAATGAAATGCTTCTTCTAATTAAAAAAAAATTAAATAAAAAAAGTGAAAAAAAATGCCCAGTAAGTGAAACAAACAACAAATCAGTAATATATACTGTGCTAGACTCCAGCTTCTTAAACTAAGGGTTGTGACTCCATATGAGGTCACATAATGGAATACAAGAGTTGTGAACACTTTTACAACAGTAAAAGGCTTCTGAGCATGCAACAACCAAAAATTAATTCAAAACCAAACATATGACGAATCCAAGGTGTTTCTGGCAACAGTCTCCACTGTGATATTGTGTGATATCACTGCAGCCTTCATTTTGAACACATCATATGCATGTTTTGCGCTGCACATGCCATCATACCACACAGTGTAGACAAATGCTTCTGAAACACCTCAACTCAGACTCAAGATGATTTTTTTGAGACAGAGTCTCACTGTCTAGCCCTGGCTGGCCTGGAACTTGCTATCTCAACAAGACTGGCCTCAAACTCACAAAGATTCACCAGTCTCCTCCTCTGCCTCCCAGAAACGGGGTTAAAGGTGTGTAACACCAGGCCAGGATTTCAAGACCATTCTGTGTTATAGACTGCAGTGTTTTAACTGACAAAGTTTTCAGCTCTTAGAGAAACATAGTGATCTAACTACAGAAAACAATACTCAGGTGGTCAAGATTGGCAACAAGCACCTATAACCTCTGGGGCCATCTTGGCTTTTAATATTTTACTAATGTCATTCCTCAGCATGTAAGTATCAAATTAGCATATCTTTGGATTGTATTGGGATAGAATGTTTGATTTTAAGAAACCCCTGTTTGGGGATGGAGAGATGGATCAGTGGTTCAGAGCACTTGATGTTCTTGTAGAAGACACTGGTTTGGTTACTAGTACATGATGACTCACAACCATCTGTAACTCTGGTTCCAAGGGATCTGACTCCCTCCTCTGGACTCTGTGGGCTCCAGGCATTCACACAGTGCACATGCATATATGCAGTCAAAACATTCATACACATAAAAGTTTTAAAATAAATTAAGAATAAAAGGCACTGTTTGAAAGAATCATTTAAATAACTTTTGGCTTGAGATTAGGATGGATCTCCAACACCTTCTGAAATGGCCTTCAACATACTTTTGCCACTTTGTACTGTATGTTTATACAAAGCATCATTCTTAGTATTGATGATTATAAAATAAAATATTGATCCACTCTGAAAAATGTTGATGTTCTATGTCCAACAATATCAAATATTCAGCCAAGACTTGATTCTTTATGTAAGAATAATCAAGCACATCCATCTCACTAGCATGCAAATTTTCTTTTGTCTTTACATACATATATCAAAAAACATATGTGTGATTTTAGAACTCAATCCCAAAGCCTTGTGCATGCTAGACATACACACTACCATTCAGCTACAATATCACCCCCCACCAATTATTTAGAAATAAATTTCTTTATATTTTTTATCAGTAAGTATTGGCTGTACTTATTTTATGTACCTATATAACTAGGGGTGTGTAAAATTTTCTTGAACAGAAGGTATTCCAAGTAGAAAAAGTTTAAGAATTCCTGTGGAAGATAGTAAGTGCTTTTGAGAAAAATAAACCACGGGGAAGGACATAGGAACTGTCAGGGTTGTGGCAAAGGGTCCTTGTTTGGGACAGAGTGGTTAGGGAAGGCATGCTGAGATGACCACTGAGGGTATTCCTAGAGAAAATGAAAGATTCAGGCATGGGCCTGTCTACGGAAGATGTATGAGGCAGAGGAAGCAGGTTCAGAGAAGAAGCAGATACTCAGGGTTCAAGACCAAGTCAAAGAAGAGGCTGGGGCCACATTGACCATTAGAAGAGGTCAGTGAGGAAGTGGAGGTGTGGAGAAAAAGGTCTTGTTGCTAGTGGAAAACTTTTGGCTTTCGCACTGAGGTGGAGAAACACTGGAGACCTTGAACAGAGCAGGGCAGAGGGGCATGGCATGATATGTCTTTCATTTCAAAGGCACCCACTGACCAAAGGATGAATAGCCAGAAAGGGGCAAAGATCAAACCAGGGATATAAGGAAAGTTTGATAATTGCTTGAACCAGAGACAAGTGGGAGGTGATGAGACCTGCCTTCAAGCAGATAGATAGCATCCTATGTCAAATGCTCCAATGGACACACATGCATTGAGAAAACGTGGTGGGAGCAAAGAGAGTGTGATAAGCCCAGCATGAAATGGTAGCAGACATTGTCACAGAGGCGTTCAGTGAAGCTGACCCAGGAGAGTGCATTCACACACTAGATATAGATGCATGACCAGGGGATGGGCATTGGCAATGTATATCCTTATACATTTACATTGGAAGGTTTATGCAGAAAGCCCTCATGCATGAGAGGATGGACAGATCAAAGAATAGCAAGCAAATAGTTCAGAGCAGCCAGTTTGGAAGACCTAGTAGAAGAGGAAGTATAGATCCAACTAAAGGAGAGCTTTTCTGTTCATTTTGTTGTTGTGGAGTTTTGTGTTTGAGACAGTCTCATATAGCCCAGGTTGACCTCGAACTCCTGACCTTCCTTGCCTCCACCTCCCAAGAGCTAGGCTCACAGGTGTTGGCCACCACATCTAGCTTAAATAAGATCTTGACTGCCATGCTAAAATCTTAATCCAGTCCCTTGGATAAAAGGCAGCTCTCGGGGGTCTTTAAGCAATGAAAGATTGTTTCACAGCCACTAAGACTAAATGATGACTTTTTTCTTCTAAAATTTATTTGTTCCAATTTGAAATTTGTCCTGTTCTGACTTTTTTCTAGTTCCCCGTCTAGAACTTGTAATGCTAGTTACTCTGGCCTTTATTTCTCCTTCAAATCTCCTATTCATGATTCAAAGACTTTCTTTTCCCCTTAGAGATAAGAGTTATGGAATTTGGGAGTCTTTTAGATAGATCCACTGAAGGGGCACTCCAATTGCCTCACCCTGCATCCCTGTTCAGCATGGAAGAAGCCAGAGCAGTCTACATCCCGATTCCCTATTGGCAATTTGGGTAAGCTCTTCAGAGGATGGTGTGATAAGAATAGGAGGTAGGAATTGGCTAGGCAGTTAGGGTAAAAAGACCTCAAAGAAAAGTAGCCAGGTTCTTGGCTAAAACTCACAATGTTTTGGGCCTGTTAGCAACCTACTCCATTCCAAAGGCCAAAAATGTTAAAAATATTTGGGAGCTTTTACCTAATCCTTAAAAGATTTTAGGGTTACCTCTTCAGAGGGGGGAATGTTAGAGTAGCCAAAAGCCCCATAAAAAATAAACAAGAAGAAAGAGTATGTGAAGTTATCAGAAAAAAGTGATGGGGAGATATGGGAGGAGTTGGATTCAGAGGGGGAAATGTTGGGGGGGGGAGTGGGCATGGATTTGATCAAAACACCTTATATGCATGCATGAAATTCTCAATAAATTATTTATTTTTTAAAAATGTATTTGTTCCCCACTTCATTCATACTAACCAATATTCTTCTCAGGGTACATCCCAATAATTAAGTTTACTGTAGGACTATTGTATTGCATTGTGTCATAATCACATATGTGTGGGTGGGTTTTATGCACGTCCAACTCACCATATAGTCTGTGGGAAACAAAGATCAGGGGTCACATGTAGGTCATCTCCACAACTTCAACACCTACAGTGTATTCTGATATGTTCAATACATAATGGATGAATGGATGAATAGATGGGCCAGGGGTTGGAGGGAGGCATGGACAAATGAATGAAATTCTAGAAGTTAGCAGTAAAAATAAGAAAGCCTAGAAATGCTGGATGGAGTTGGCAGATGAGGAAGTCAGATTTCTAAATAAAAACAAAAGGAACTGGGACTGGAGCGATGACTCAGTGGCTAAGAGTGTTTGCTAGTCTTCCAGAGAACCCGAATTTGGTTCCCAGCCTGGAATTTCCATTCTAGGGGATCCAATGCTCTCTTCTGGCCTCTGTGAAAATGTACACATAAACACACACATACAATTCAAAATAAAATTATTTTTTTAAAAAATTAAGTGTAAATGTTTATTCATTGCAGATGCAACCAAAGAATGCCCCAATCCTCTGGGGGTGCTTCCTCCTGTGGAATCTCTACGCCTCATCCTCCCAAACTGATTACCCTGGTATCAAGGCAAGGATTACCCAACGGGCACTGGACTATGGTGAGTTGGATGCATGTAAAAACCAAGTTGTAAGTGCCCTGTATGGTCCAACTCTCTCTCTCTCTCACTCCTCTCTCTCTCTCTCTCTCTCTCTCTCTCTCTCTCTCTCTCTCTCTCTCTCTCTCTCCCCATGTATGTGTGTGTGAGAGTGAGAGATCTTGACTCTAAATAAAAAACAAATTATAGAATAAAGGAAAGGAATTTTAGAATAAAAGCAAGTCTTTAAGAGCTTCAGAAAGATGTTGATTGTATAGGAACCTGGAATCCTCCAAAATCATATACAAAATTTATCGTAGATGACTGTACATTTTTCTTTAAAAGCTCCATCATATTTATTGATGTTCAAAGAAATCAAAGTATCTGAAACATTAAGGATAACTACTTTTTTAAAAAATGGAG